AAAAAAAAAAAAAAAGAAACACTACCAGCCTGGAATTCTATATTCAGCAAAAAATTACTAGAAAATGAATATAAAATTCAGACTTTTCCAGTTTAGCAAAATCAGAGAATTTTTTGCCAGCAAACATGCAGTTTTAAGAAATTTAAGAGAAATACCACAGGCTGTGGGATATGTTATCAGAAAAAATATGCATCTTTTCAGAAGGAAAAAAGGGATAATAAAACATAAAAATATGTGTGAATAGTTTTAATTGTTTCCTAAATTCTCTCATTCTCCCATCTCTTCTATCTTTCCTTCCCCCATTTAAACACACACACACACAGAGAATTTTTAGCAATCTATAGACCATATTAAAATGTATTATGAGATGTATAACATGCATAGTAAAAATATAGAAAACAAAGAGCAAGAAGGATTTATGAAAAATAATCTTGTAAATTTCTTACATCAATGAAATAATATATGTTTTGAAAGTAAACAGTGATATGGTAAAGATGAATAGTATTATATCTGGACCAATCTTTCCTGAAATAACACAAGTATAACTAAAAGGACAATAGAAAAGATAGAGTATTAAAATGCCTCTCTGTTCATACAAACCAATGAAGAAAGAAAAGGAGAAAAATGCACACACAAAAATAGAAAAATACAAAATAATCGCATCATGATAGACTTAAAATCAACCATATCAATAAGTATATTAATTAAACTTATTAAAAAGGATACAATCTTTATTTTGCCTACAGTATACATACTTTAAACATAAAGACACAGATAAATTGAAAGTAAAAATATGGAAAACTGTATGCCATAGAAATACAAAGCATAGAAAATCTAGCATAACTGAATTAATAGAAGATAAAGTCGACTTCAAGACACAGTGTTTTCCTGGATATATAAGAGGACATTTTATAATTATAAAAGGTTCAATTAAATCTTAAATGTGAAAGATCCAAAAATAGCTTCAAAACATCTGGAGCCAAGGTAACTGTACAACAAGAATAAACAGACAAATCCTCAAAAAATAAATGAAAATTTTAAATTCACCCCTCTCAATAAATGATAGATTAAATTGAAGAAAAAACAATGAACACATAGAATCTATAAACAATCCAATCAACAAACTTGACAGAAGCAACTTTTATAAAACAGTGTGCCAAAAACTCTGCAATACACATTTTGCAAGTATGCAAGGTATGTTCCAAAAAATTATATAGTAGGCCATGAAAACAGTGTCAGTTAATTTCAAAGACTCAATGGTATAAAGAGTATTTTCTCTAATGACCATGGCATTAAGTTGTATTCCAAAACAAGAGCATATCAAGAAAATCTCCCAACATTTAGAACCTATATGGCATCTACTAAATAGCTCAGGCATCAAAGAAGAAATTACAAATTATGAAATGTTTCAAAAGGAGTGACAATGATTTCAAGTTTGTAGGATACAAATGAAGCAGTGCTTGGAGGGATAATGCATAGCTTTGAGAATTGTACTAGGAAAAGATGGAAGACAGTAAAACAGGGATCTAAGCCATCACCTTAAGAAGCTAGGAAAAGAATGAATTAAAATCCAAGTAGGCAAATGAAATGAAATAATAAACAAGGACACAAATAGTCCAATGGAAATTATCAATAAAAAAATCAACAATGCCGAAAGTTAGGTTTTGAAAACATTAATACTGATATTATGTTCCTCAGTCTAACTGATCAAGAAATAAAGGAGAAAACAAATGGCAAACTGCCAATATAAGAAATAACATAGGAGATATCTCCATAAATCATACGGACAAGAAAATAGAATAAAGGTACAACTTTATGTTAATAAATTTAATGAGCTAGCTAAAAGGGAAAACTGTTGAAAATTCAACCTAAAATGTACACAAGGAGAATTAGAAAATATAAATAGGCCCATATCTATAAAATATACCGAATTCATCACAAATTTATTTTCACATGTGAATTTTATTAAACATTTAAGAAAAAAGTAATAAACTTTAACACTTAGAAAAATGAAGTAAGAGGGAGAAAAATACCAACTCATTTTTCTAAAGCCAGCATGACACTGATATCAAACCACTGCAAAGATATTTCAGGAAGAAAGATGTTACAATAGTATATTAGTCATGAACACACATATTCTTTAAGATAAATAAACAAATTGAATTTGGCCATAAATATAATTCACCAAGACAAAGTGGGATTTATCCCATGTTTTTAAGTTTTACATCCAAAACTCAAACAGCATTAATTCACCACATCCAAAACTCAAACAGCATTAATTCACCACGTTCAAATAAATGAGAAAATCATTATAATTTCAATAAATGTAGGAAAGGTGACAACATTTAGATCCATTGATAATAATTCTCAGCAATCAAGGAATCAAAGAGAACTTCCTCAACCTCATGAAGGACATTTGCAAAAAAAAATCATATATATATGGTGTTAAAATCATACTTATAAATGAAACATGGATTTGATTTTTCCCTAAGATCAGGATAAAGCAAAAATGCCCTCTCTTACTACTCTTGGACATTGTTCGAAAAGCCTCAACCAATATAATAAGGCAAGATGATCAGATAAGTAGATAGATAAATATATGATAATGATTGGAAAACAGGTAAATCTGTTATTATTTGCAAGCATCATGCTTATGCATACAGAAAACCCCATGGCATCAACAAAAACTGTTAGAACTAAAAGCAAATTTAGAAAAATTTTAATATATGATACTAATATATAATAATATGTTGCTTTGTCCTTATTTACCATTTTATTTATTTAGTAATAAAATCTTTAAAATAATATCAAAAACAATAAATAACTAGGAATACATCAAACAACGATGTACAGGAATATTTCACTAAAAACTACAATTCTTGGCTAGAAACAATATTAGAAGACTAAAACAAATGAAAAGATATATACCATGTTCATAGATTGGAAGCCTCAGTATGGTTGGAGAAAATGGCAAGCTGAATATGAGATGGCATAGAAAGGCAAGGGCTTTTAAAACAATATTTTTAAAGTAGCACTAAGAGGACTTATACTACCTGATTACAAAACTTATTATAAAGCTAAAATATGAAAGAATATAGTATTAATATGAAGATAGAAACAGAACAATGATACTAAATACAGAGCTTAGAAATCAACCCACACTTATATACTCATTGGATTTTTATAATCAAAATCAATTCAATGGAGAAGGAAAATCTGAAACAACTATGTAGCTAAATTGTAAAAGGAAAAAGGATCTCACCCATTACCTCTTTTAATCATAGATATTAATTCAAGAAAGATCCATAGAGCCAAATACAAAAGCTAGAACTATCAAGCTCCAAGAAGAAAAAAACACAGAAAAATATTTCTGAGAGTTTGAGTCAGAAAAGGTACAAGTTACCACTACACACAATAAGACGGATGCTTCTCAAAATCATGAGGCTAAGTAAAGTAGTCCAGAAACAAAAGAATATCTACTGCATAATTTTATTTATATGAAGTTCAAGAACAGGTAAAATTGATCTAAGATGATAGAATTATGAAGAGGTTGCCTTGGGCAGATAATACTGAAATGGGAGAAGGAGAAGTTTCTGGAATGATAGAAAACCTTTATGTGTTGTTTTCAGTGGCAATTACACAAGGATACACAATTGTCAAAATTCATCAAATTGAACCCTTAAGAGCTTAAGCATTTCATATTATGTAAATTAAATATCAATAAAATATGGGTGGATGAAAATATGAAAAGATATTATCCAACTCATTTTTTGAACATTTTGAAAATATGAAAAGATATTATCTAACTCATTTTTTGAACATTTCCATGTGGCAGATGGAGATACTGCTTAGTTGGGGCGGGGGCGGGGGAAACAGGTTCAGGAAATGGAGAAACTGTTGGATCTCTTTGGTGTGTCTCCCAGCAGCTCTCTGGAAGGGCTGGATAATACAATCTAGAAATTCCAGGAAAACCAATGCCCTAGGGATACAATTTTGATCAATAAAAGACAGGAATGGGTGGGGGGGACGGGGGGACTATAGACAAATTTCTTTCCCTTCCTCCCTTCCCATTTCCCCCAGAGGACTATTGGAAGGTGCCCTCATTCCACAAGAGCCCTCTGAAGAAATCAGAGACAGAGATGCAGGCTGTGTTTCTCACCCTGGCCACCCTGGGGATTGACCCTCAGAAGCTTGGCCTAGGCTCTGACTCCTAGGCCCCTGGGCTTATGCTAACACTAGACTGCTTTTGAACAGAATAACAAGAGTACTTTTTCATAGCTATTGTTTTTTGCCATGTGTTTCTCTAAGTGCTTTATCTAAATTAACTTTATCTAATCCTCAGAGTAGCTGTGAGGAGTAAATATTTATTATTATCCTCATCTTGCAGGTGAGAAAAAGGGAGGCACAGAGAGGTTAGTAACCTGCCCAAGGCTCCATAGTTACTAGGTGGCAGCGTGACAAGACTAATTCCAGCAGCCTGCTTCTCAATTCCACTTCCTAACCACCATGCTCTATTTTCCCCTTAATATTAAATGAGATCAAAACAGTGAGCATGCCCGGCACAATGCCTGTGATAGCATGAGCTTGTTAAAGAAACTGAGTACCCCGGAAGAGGCTGGAAATACAAATCTGAGGCTCAAACTGGACCTACACATTGCAGGTACAGGCCTGCAATCTCCCCACCTCGGTTCCTTACTACAGCTTCGCCTGACCCAGTGCATGGGTGAGCATGAGCACCTGGAAGCACACTCACCTGAGGCAGGCCACAATCAGGAAAGTCACACCTACCACTATCACACTGGAAATGGGAACGGAAGGCAACCTCTCTCCTCCTCTCTCTCCATCCCTCCCCCATCCCACAGTCCTTGCCAAGGCACTAAGAGACTTGTCACAGGATAATGAAAAACTGAAATGTGACGGATTCAATTACGATTTATATTTTCACTTAACAATCAATTACCTTCCCCTTATTGGTGGAACATCATTAAGTTATGATAACCAGCTCTGGAGAGAAATCCTCTTGGGGAGGGGAGCAGCTGGTCCAAAGAGAGCTGAATGGGGTGTTTAGTCTCCCCGGAATCTGGGGAAAGGGAGAACAGGTGTGGAGCAAGAAGACTGGACAAGGAAGGGTCAGCTGCCCGGGACTGCCCGGGAATGAGAGAGGGGTGTTTCTTCTCTGCCTGTCTGTGTGGTGAAGGGGCAAAGGGACTTCTCCTCCTCCTGCCCCTGTTCATGTGTTTGTGGTACAGCCCCCGGCTCTAATATGAACAACAAAGGTGAAGTGTCTATTGCAGCCCAAGCAGCAACATTCACAGAGCAGAGACAAGGACCCTGGAAGCAGTGCTCAGCCAACAGGCCTCGGAGGACTGGCAAGAGCTCACAAAGCAGAGGCAGCTTCTTGCAGCAGCCTCTGCTGAGATCCATGGAGAGGTTCCAAGAAGGGGCTGCACTCACCCCCAGGTGGGCTTTGAAGAGCTCAGAGCCTCTGGGAGGCCACATCTGGGAAGCCACAGTGATAAACCCCACACAGATGGAGCTGCCTCCCAACAGCAGCAGCCCAGGAGGAGGAAAATTGAAATCCCCAACTTCCTTCAGGAGGATGGGAAGAAGGGAGGGAATCCCAGCGCAGGATCCTCTCTCTCCTCTCTCTCTCTCTCTCTCTCTCTCTCTCTCTCTCTCTCTGGTTTTATTCTTCACAGGGTGGAGCCCAGACGGGTCAGCCTCTTGTTTCCATATCTCCCCTTCTCCACCTTTTCCAGCTGCACCTAGAATGAGTTTTCACACACACGAATCTGATCAGGTCACTTAAGGGTTAAAACACTTCATTGATGTTAAGTAAAACCAAAATTCCTTAGCATGGCACTTGAAGGGGATCAGAATTTTCCACACCAAAATATGCCATTTTGGCAAAAGGATTATTTGAGCTGAAAACCACTGGGAATCTACAGGTGCAGGAGAGGAGTTCTTTATCTTCCCCTTACCTGCCTGGAGGCAGGGCACAAATTTCCCTTGGGGAAGGGGTTTCACTCTGGTGCAGGGAAAGGGCCAGTGCTCCTCACTAGAGGAGAAAGTTGATGGGAAAATGAGTTTCCATAAACAGATCTTACTAAGTTAACCCTTATCTTACACTCCTTTTCTAGTCGTTTCCTCACAACCTATCTTTGGGAACCCCAATCCTCTTTTCTTCGTTAAAATTATTTGATTTTCACTTCTTTTCTGCAAATTCCTGTTTACATCACTATCAATCAAAATGGCGTGCCTTGTCTCCGGTTAATCTGCCTCTTGTTAGTTTAATATACAAGACACCACCCACTGAACCTAAGAGGACAGAGGTAAAGTTTTTCCTCCCTGACACATTGAAAGTCCTTCCCCAAATTGCTTTTCTCTCACACACTGCGCTTGTCTCCATTCCCTAACCAGTCTTGGCTCTTAAGTATCACCTGGATTTTAGGCACAGTCTTGCACCTTTCCACTTTCTCTACTTGATCCAACTCCTATTGAACCTTTGAAGTCCCTTCTAGTATTTCCTCTCCTGAAGCTTTCCTTCAACGTCCCTAGACAGTTGATGGTTCCTCTACTTTGCTCATACACTATTATAATACTGATCACACAACCACTAGAACACAGTGAGGGGGGAAATCCCAAAAGCCCTCAGGATGGACTGCCTGGATTCAAATCCCCAGTTCCTCCCGTTCCTAGTTTCATGTGCTCCAACAGCTTATCCATCTAGGACCTCAAGTTCATCCACTATAAAATGGGGTTGATCTGGCCTACATCTTAGGTTGGTTGGGAAGGATTTAATAAGTTGCTGCATGACAATCCTTTGGCTCAATGCCTGACACATAGTAAGTGTTCAATAAATGCTGGTTAGTGCTTATTTGACTTTTGATGAACTAAGAGTTTTATGAAAATATCAGTTAAATCTTAATTATCTTTGTCCTCAGGGTCAAAAAAGCCTATCACAGCACCTGATGTCTCCTAAATTCTCAAAAGAAAATGGAAATTGTGCCAAATGAATGAGCAGCCACTGTGTGCGGATGTTGTGGGAACAGGAGCTGCTGGTGTTTGGAACTGTGAATGAACAGTTTTGTGGAACATTTCAACTGCTGATCTTGTCAGATGTGCTTACATGTTAGTATTGTGAAAACATTTTAAAGGCTGATACTGCCAAATGCATTGAGGAACCACTGTGAAGGCTGACATTGTCAAATGGGGTGTCAAATATGTTTATATGAAAACAATGTCACAGCAATGTGTGTGACATATGGATCTATATTAGAGCTACTGTACCAAAGGACAAGGTTAAAGCAAAGCGTGGTCCAAATAAAACTCAAAGGTTTACCTTTTTGCTCATTAACTTAAAACTTCAATGAATCCAGAAATTAGGCACATGTTAATTCTTTGCAAAACACTGTTGGTGCTGGATGGGAGGGTAGAAGCATCCCAGGAAGAGAAGCAAAGGTGTCTGCCACCCGCAGTGAGGAAGGCCCTCATACATGAGGCCTCTGCACACTTTATATACCCTGCCTTCACAGAGCCAGCAACTGCGCGGGGGATGAGAAGTGAGGCCCAGGAGCTCAGAGGGCAATGCCAGTCTGTGGTCGCAAGCACTGGGATCTGCCACTACTCAGGCCAGTCCCAGTGAGGATCAGACATGAACCACACTCTGTCTCCTGCACAGGGGTCCTGAGCTGGCCGTGGCAGCAGGTTCCTGCATGATACAACCCAAGCCCACACCTTACCCAGAGCTCCACTGTGGTGCCCATCCAACTTCCAGGGCTCTGGAATTGTCTCTTGCACATTGTATCACTTTTTGTTTCTGAAAGGTGGCCATTACCATCCAGCTTAAAATCAACATAAACACAAAAGACAAAAATCCCCTTCTGTTTGTACTGCATTAACTCGCCTATTGTATCCAGGTCAGAAAAATTATAGTGTTGTTTTAACTCTGCTGGTCACATCCTATCTGAAATCAAGGGTCTGGGTTAGAAAAAGAAAGACTCAAAACTTTTGCCAATATATAATAAATAATGACGATTTTTTCCCTGTGTTTACAATGTTTAAATCCTCTGTCACATTAATTCCAAATCTGGGAATTATCTCTTGGGAAATTATCCATGATGTGATAAAGATAGCTATAAAAGATCTTCACTGCAGTGTCATTTAAAATAGGAAAAATGCCTAAGCCGGACAGAATAAATATCCAATAATGCTAGAAAAATTAAGTAAGTTAAGAACATATAATATGACATGATATGATATCTGATATGTATCCATTGAAGTTTGGGAGAAGGTCTTGATATGGGACACAAATTTTACACACAACATGCATATTGGTGTAATTAGGCTGATGATATGAAACAATACAATGGTCCTAGCTGGTTTCATGTCTGATTTCGATGCTTCAACTTTGTATGTTTTATTCTCCCCTGTGTTTTCTATATTTTCTTAGTTTTCTACATTTTTTACTGATGCTATTATACATCCTTGAATTTATACAGTGTTTCCTCTTTTTTTCCTCTCCCAAATTACTATTAAAGCAAAGATACATCTTAAATGAATTATAGTAGTCTGCAGGGGCAGCTGCCAAAACCAAATGCCATGGACTGGGAAGCTTACACACAAATTGGTTTTCTATCAGTTCCAGAGGCTGGAAGTCTAAGGTCAAGGTGCAGGCAGGGCTCACTTCTCCTGAGGCCCTTCTCCTTGGTTGTCACTGTGACCTCACATGGCCTTTCCTCTATGGGTGCATAGCCCTGGCATCTCCTCCTCTTCTAAGGACACCAGTGCTGTTAGATCAGGCACCATCCTGATGAGCTCACTAAACCTTGCTTACCTCCTTAAAAGCCTGTCTTCAAACATAGTCACATTCGAGGTTAGGGTTTTAACATAAGAATCTGGAGAGGACACAAGTTGGTACATAAGATGGATGGAATCTTAGAATAAGAAAATGCAGTGAACTTCCATACCATAACAAGTGTTCATTGCAAGAAAAAGGAGACATGACTGCACCTTCCCCACTGCTGGAGTGCTTTGGGAGCCTGCCTGACCACCCCAGAGACTGGAGCATAGTCGAGTGTGAAGTTAGACCCAGAATCCCTCCTCATCCACATGCCTCTCCCAGCTCAGAAGGACTTCACCATATTCTTATATCTCAGCAATAATGAGTCCCCATTCTCTCACAGCAACAGCTCTGAGTGCCTGGGGCCCCCATCTGTCTCCACGAAGTGAGTCCTGTAAAGGAATTTAGTCTTTCCTGGGTAATCCTTTTCTCTCTAATCACAAAGTAACCTTCTCCTGCTTACTCCTCTTCCTCCTTAAAAATCAGCTGTCCTCTTCTCTTCTGAAGAACCCTCATTGACTACTCTCTCCTCAATCAAATCAGGGCGGGTGCTCCCTCTGAGCTCCCAGTGCCATTATCAGATTTGCTTTATTCATGAATCTTACACACACACACACACACACACACACACACACACACACACACGCAGCCACTTAGTGTCAGAAGCTCAGTCTTGGTCAACTTTCTACCTTCTTGGCCCCAAACAGCCACATATTAGCTATGCGTCCTTGGGCAAGTTACTGAGTACTTCACCTGGGTGCCTCCCATTCCTCCTCTGTCAATCACACCACCTCAAAGGATTGTTGTGAAAGTTAAATGGGATGATGAAATTTACAAAGTGCCTGGCTCACATCAATGCTTAGGTGTGTCTGACTACCACTATGCAGCTCAAGAGGACACCAGGAAGGTGGTCTAAGCAGGAGTTCATCATCCTCCATCTCTGCCTCCAACCCCGTGAGACGTCCCACAGGTCCAGACACAGGAGTCACTTCTGAAAGAAGATTTAAAGTGAGTGAGTGACTTGGGTCTTTCACCAAGGGGGCACTGGATTTTATGTGATAAATAATAAGAGAGCTCCTAAGAGCTTAACCGTAGATAATCATGGATGGAAGGAAGAGATGTCTAATGCCTATATTGAAGATGGAAAGTCAACCCTGTTCAACTCCAGATCCTTAGACCCAAATGGTCTCTTCAAAGCACTTGTCCTGCTCAACAAATTGCCTGCAAATATTCAAGCACCTCCTTGTGCAGCGCACTGAGGAATCATCACAAATCCACACCTCCAGGAATGTTCCTGCCCTAGGGCACACAGTGTAGATAAGAGCCACCAAAGGGAAAGGCCACCATGGGCAGCAACAGCCACCCATCCTGACTCTGGAACCCCTCTCTGGAAAGGATCTCCATAAGACTTTTCAGAAGGAGGAAACCCATGTGGATGATGACACTCACTGCAGCACCACATATAACCTTAAGAATAAAATAACCATGTGAGGTCTGCTCAGCTCAGCGTGCCTGGAATTTACAATAGAATATCCTATAGTCAAGAGGAGTCATTGCAAATCTATCATAGTTAAAGAAGAGACCAAAATTTCATCTGCAACTATAATTATGTCCGTGTGAAAATATGTATGCTGTGGCCAGAACACAAAATAGGCCAAGAATCCAGTTATTCTGGGAGGAAGGAAGGGAACTGAGGAACTTGGAATGTGTTTTCCATCTTAAAAAAATTAAAAAAAACATTCCTCAAGCTTTTATAGGAAGGGCTATCTGCTGAGATCTTCGGGGCCTGTCCCTGCTGCTTGGGAAAGCCTTCTGACAGCAGAGGTCTGGGCATCTGGCCGCCTCCGCTGGCTGTCATCGTTCTACATATTCTATAAAATTCACAATCAAAGGGTTCCCCAGGAAACTCTCCCAAGTGGATGAGGCCCATGTCAGATGGACACTGCCTGCTCCCCTCCTTGGAGAGTTTACCAATTTTAAGCTGTTTCCGAGAGCTTTGCTTTGGCTTTCTCCTTGATACTTTATTAATTCAACTAATCGATGTGTGCTCGCTCCGTGTTTTTGAAGAGCCTCTCCAGTTGGTTCCTGCGCCCTGGCAGGAGGTCCTCCAGGTCCAGGGCGGCCCCTACCATGAAGCAATCCAGGCGTATTTGCTGGTGATGCCGGTCAGAGCAGGGTTGGTTGGAACGATGGCTAGTTTCCTTAGTTCCATTTCAATAATTAGAAAATGTGTCTCAATGTGGCAGGATATAAGCCCTGAAGCAAGCCTCACCTCCTCTTCCATTCCCATCCCTTAACAGGTCCTTCGCCAAATGTCATAGCTACCTGCTACTTCTGGTTATTAAAAGTCACATAAGTTTAAATCTTCACTATCAAACTGAATTTAAATCTCTTCTGTCCCTCCCCACTCCCAGCAAGGATGACAGGGACCCATGGCTGCTCAGAGTTCTGGGGAACTCTGGTCCCTCAAGCTTCCAGCCCCTTCCAGGCCCAGTTACTCTGGTTCGGGAGTAAAAAAAGCAGAGAGCAGAAATGCCAGCTTTGCCACTCAACTCTGCTGATGGTCTCAGCTCCCACCGAGGAGGCTCTGGACAGGGCCACTCCCCTCCCCAGCACACTTCCCTGAGATGGGGGACCACCTCCAGCTCTTGTCACCACCATGCTCTCTAGTCCACCCCCCACCACCAGCAGGTTGTAACAGCAGACACCTCATGTCCACCCACCTGCTACATCACCCACCAGCCCCGGGGAAACTCATGCCCCCAAACAGCAAAACCCAGACACCTAGTCTCCTCTGTGGGAACCCTGTGTTCCCACCACCCTCCCTGATGACGTCCCTCCTCTCCTGCCCTTTTAGCCACAGAGCCAGTCTGTGGATCCGCAGGTATTTAAGGTGGAAGAACACAAGCTGCTGCCGCTTCCATTCTCTTGAGGCCCTTTCCCTGAGGTGGGGACTTGAAAGTGGAAGGTGAGGGATTCTCCTCTCCTGATGAGGGAGGCACTATAACAACATCAGCGCATGCTCTCTCTCTCCTCTGGTCCCCTCTCATACAGAAACTAGGGAGGGGCTCGGGACAGACCTGGTGACAGCAGGACTAGGACTGCACCCAGTGTTGGCCATTCTTATCAACAAGCACAAGGTTTAGAACCTTGTTCTGGGTCAACAGGAAAATCTGCTCCACTTTCTGTCACATGTATGCTTTCAGATGCGGGTCCAAATTGGCCTTCATTTTTTTTGGACTTAGTCCACTTTGTCACAAAAGGACTTAAAGGCTTTGGTTGAAGTGTGAAGTTCCAAGGCTGAAAACAAAGTAGGACCCAGAGGAGCCTGCTCAAGGCCCAGCTGCAGAGCCCGGGCACAGCTCGGGTCAGGTGGGGACAGAAGGAAGCACCAGGAGAGCCCTGATCTATGGCCCCGCCCAGCACGTGGACACACCGGGAGACCTCCAAGGCTCCATCTGGGCTCCGTCCTCGGACCCGCCTTAGTGAGTCACAGCTGACCTCATCCAGGCAAAGCATCCGCGTCTTTCTCTGGAACTAGAAACTACTAAACCTTCCTCAGCTTGGGTGAGGGCGAGGAGTCTGGTGCAAGGGGGCCCTCACTCCTGCCATTCATAAGCTATGTGGGCCAGTCAGTCACTTCTTGGGGCTTCAATTTCTGTAGAAGGAGAAAATCCAACTCTACCTCAACAGGATGCCAGAGGACTAACTGGGTTGACACTGTCTGCTCTGAGGCACAGGAAGGTGCTGGGCACAGAGAGGACAGAATGCATTCCCAACCTACCTATCTACCCCCTAGAAAGACCACAGTGAGTCAGACACACAGTCCCTCTGCAGCCATATCTATCCATCATCCAGCCACTTCTCCCAATGACCACTTCACCCCTGTGGCCCAAGCTGTCCTTGTCACCTACCTGGCCCAATGCAGTACATTCCACTGGACCCCTGCTTCCAGTCTGGGCCCCACCAGTGGGTCAGAATGATCCTAATGAAAGGTGAGCCAGGTCACGACACGCCTCACTTGAAACCCTGACGTGGCTCTTGTGTTCTTCGGAACAGAAACCAAAATCACACATCTCAAGGCCTACGTGGTCCTCCCCAGGGGCTCTCCAGCCTAGTACTCTCCCTTTCCCTTTCTCCATCCTACTGGCCTATTCAGACCCAGCATAGCAGACTTATTCCTGCCTCCGGGTTTCTGCCCTGTATCACCCCTGTGCCCAGAATTCCCCTGCCCAATATCTGCACTACTATCCCTTACTTCTTGCAGGGCCTAGGTTCAATGTCACCTTCATGAGGTCTTTCCTGAGCATCCGGTTTACAATCACAAATTCCCTACCAGCCCCATAGCAAGTGCCTCTCCCACTCCCATTGCCTTTATCTTCCAACTTACCACATAACTTGATAATTTATTTTATGGCTCCCCTCTTTTTCCTCCCTGCATATATATTAAAATGTGAGTTCCCTGGGGGCAAGAATTTGTGCTTGTTTTATTCACCGCTGTTCATCTCCAGCATCTAGGACAATGTCTGGCACACAGTAGGCGCTCGATACACACCTGTTTCAAGACTGAATGAATAACAGGACGGGAGGATCGATGAGCAGGAAGTGGAAGGCCCAGTTAACTGCTCAGAAGGCCGCCTCCCGTCTCCCTCCAGCTGAGAAGAAAGTTGAGAGTGAATCAGAGGAAGGATGAAGTCAGCTTGGAAGAGAATCTCCGGGCTGAGTAATTGGTCTCCGCCCCGGCCTCATCTCAATTTAGACCCAACACTGGAAATTCATTTTGAAAGCATCCTCTTTAGTCATTCCAATCACTTATTTCCTCTAAACTCCAACTTGTCTGGGGACCTAAGTCCAAAGCCCTGGCAAATAGAAGCTGCATCAAGCACAAGCAGAAGTTCAATGGCTCTTTAACCATTCTGACTTCAGAGAGCAAACGTGCTGCCTGCAAGCCTCCCGGCTTCTCCCTGCGGCTCTCTCTGGCACCTGCCGTCTCAGGCACGCTTTGCCTAGAGCCTTGGCTGACACCTTGAATGGAAGGGACGCAACTCTTTCATATATATGGGTCTCTTCTCCTCACACAAATGGCAAGCAAGGAACAGCTGAGTGTAAGATGACTATGATTAACTGACAAGTGCTCGCTCCATCTAAAGGCATTTAGACTAAAATAAATAAATAAATTGCACCGTTCAAGTCAAACAAAACACTCTACACCTGAAAACTGCCAGTTTGCGGCTCCAGTCTTGATTGCCAGCTTAGCTCTACAGCAATGTGGAAATATAGTAGGCACTTAATGAATACCTCTTAACTGATGGCTGACTTGATATGAAGTACTCACCCAGGTCACAGAAAGCAGCCTAGGACAAATACTAAGGAGTCCTGTTTCATGGAGGGATGCTCTCGTTTTGCAGACGCAGTGTGTAGAACACTGTTTCTCACTCCTCTCTGCCTGATCTCTGATCCTGAGGGCATGAGGGGTATCTGTGAAGTGCACGGGGCTGAGCACAGACTATGTCTGACTATGGCAGTGATGCAAAGGGCCGCAAAGGCAAGAACTGGGGTGAAGAGGAAAGAGGCAGCAGCCCCTGTGCCCAGCATAGCCTCTATCCCAGGGTGGGTTTTCAACTGGTGTTCAGAGTACTCCCATCAAGTCTGTACAATTTAGACTTCCCGAAGACAGCAGTGGGGACACACCCACCAACCCCACCAACCACACACCACCAGCCTTCCTTCTCCCTTTTCCTAACTCCACCTTTGCTTAACCTACTCAGTAGCCTTTAGAAATCCTCAGGACATTTGCAGCGTTAAAACAAGTGTATTTCCATTTTATTGCACCTGTATTTCTTGTAAAGAGCAATTTCATTTTGTGTCTCCATTGTATTCAATCTGACTTTTGCACTCTGAAACTTCTTCAAACAAAGCTCTGCTTGTGAAGCAAGAACCGCAGCTGACAGCCTCCTGATCCCCAGTGCTTTTTGCTTTGTTTTGTTGCTTTTTTTTTTTAAGAATGAGAAAAATGCAAGGCTCTACCCTAAGCAGGCCAATCTAATAGCTTCTTTATCCTAGTGAAAGACGGAGCAGTCCCACCAGCTCTGGTAGCTTCCCTCTGTCCACTCCAGAGAAGACAAATCCAGGGAGGACACTCAGGAGCTGGTGAGTAAGTGAACATCTGGATTCACAACTCCTTGAAACATCTTTTGATCTAACCTGTAACCTCCATCCCATTCATTCTCCACATTATTTCCAGAGGTGTCTTCTGTCTCACTCTCAGACTCAAGACCCTTCAATGCTCTCAGGGTGAAGCTGGTCTTGTCAGCTGACGGGGGGGCCAAATATTTACCCACTTATCTCCTGCATTCACTCCCTTTCACTCCACCCTCCAGCCAGACCCACCTTCTTTCATTTTGGGTATATGACACATTTTCTACCACCCGTGACTCCTTGACCCTTTGTCTCTTTGTCCAGAACATTCTTCTCTCCCCCAATCCACCCACTTCTTGGCCAGTCTTGATCTTGGATGAGTGAAGAAATGGGTGAATAAACAATGAGATCAAACAGAAATTCCATTCTGGGAGTTCAGGAGAAATATTTAGTCTCTCATGGAACTTGGGGAGTCACCAGGTGGCCCCTAAGTCTTTCAGCCTGTGATGGAAAAAGTACATCTGCTAATGGGTAGGGGAGAGCTGGAGGGTCTGCCAAGGCCTCAAATATGTGTACCTGAAAGAGGTGGCACTGGGATGACATGCCCAAGAGAAACAGGACCAGAGAGCTAAGCAATTCCCCTTCCTTTCCTGGTTTCCACCAGCATCACCCCTCTGCCAAATCTTCCCCTCCGTCCTCTAAGTAGCCACACCCCACCTAAGTCTGTGGGAGTGTTGGGCAGTGGGACCACGCCCCCTTAAGCGGGGATCCTGACCATCCAATCAGCAACGGTCACTAGTCCTACCGTTTGCAGGCTGACTAAATCACTTCATCTGCGCTGAGTGATCATGGAATATTTGGATCAGCAGAACCAAAATAAAACCCGCTGAAGAAGAAAACCCCAGGTTCTTTTCCTTCCCCCATTATCCGGCTCGGATAATGGGGGAAGGAAAAGCTTCGCCCATACACGTGGATCCCTCCACCCCCGGGGACTGGGCCTGAGAAAACTCCTGGATGTCTGAGGAGGTCACGCCTGCATGTGTCAGGAAGGAGACAGGAATCTGTTCAGATACCAGAACACGCAGCTGCCTCGTTTTGATCAGAATTTGCAGTGTAGAAAAAGACAAGAAATGGGAGAAAACAAAGATTTTACTTAAATGGTTTTTCTCAGTTTGAGAGCTAATAGGAACAACCCCGTCAAGGGTTGAACTGTGTTTAAAATCCATTGTGGAAAGCCCCACTCCCAGGACCTCACAATGTGACCTTGTTTGGAAATGGGGTCATTGAAGATACAATAATTAAGATAAAATCATTAGGGTGGCCCTAATTCAGTATTACTGGTGTGTGTCCTTATAAAAAAGGGGAAATTTAGACTCAGATTCATGTACACAGGGAGAGAAAGTCATGGGAGATGAAAGCAGAGATTAGAGCCATACTTTAAAAGTCGAGGGATGCCGAAGTCGGCCCACAGACCACCGGAAGCTGAGGGAGGGGCCTGAACAGTCTTGCTCACAGCCCTCAGAAGGAACCAACCCCGTGGGTACATCAGTATTACACTTCTGGATTCCAGAACTGTCAGACACCAATTTCTGTTACCTTAAGTTCCCCAGTTTGTGTGACTTTGTTACAACTGCCCTAAGAAACTAATACAAACTGCCAGCAATTATCTAGAAACTGTTTCTCCTACTTGGTGTCCATCTTGACCACAGCAAAAATCACCCTTGAAACTTCAGTGGACCACCACAACCCGCTGGTCTCTGAGGGCTTTCAAAACTGCAAGTTTAGGGTGAGTCAGATGCTCTGTCTCGCTCCTGACCTCGTGGCATCTCCTTTATGAGGGTGGGGCGACGGAGCTGTCATAGAATAAAGAGTCTGAGCTTTGAAACCAACCAGACCTGTGCTGGAACCCTTTCTCACCACTGAGCAGCTGTACACAGCCGCCCGCTGTTCCTTCTCTGCAAAATGGAACCAACAGCAAAGCCTGCTTCATGGGTCCTTGTGACAAGCACACTTGAGACAATGCTCCCTGGTGACCATGCCCCTACGGGTCCATCACCCCTGTGAAGCACGGTGAGCACCCCAAAATGGGAGATAGTGTTACATGCTCGCTGTTTGAGCGCCAAAGAAGATGAAGTTAAACTAGGGGCATCCCTTAGACCAACTAAACCCTTAAAGTAAGTAAATAAACAAATAAATAAATAAATAAATGCAACAAATGCCAGTTAGTGACACAGCCCAGTGGGCTCCTGGGCAACGTATGCTGGCCCAGCAGAGGGCCCGCCCTGAGAGCAAGGAAGAGGAGTGAGCAGATGGCAGTGATCAGCTACGGGGCTGGGTGGAGAACACAGGTGTGTGGGAAGAGGAACAAGGGAAGCTGGAGGTCAGACCAGCTTTGCACGTGTCTGACAAGCAGCACCAAGAGGCATAGCAGCCGTCACCTGAAGGTCGATCGGTCTCTCCCCTAATTGAAAGGACACAGAATTCCCACCCTGCAGGGCAGACCATGGCAGCCTGCTGCACACCTGCCAGAGCAGAAAAAAAAAGGAGAACTTAGGTAGGTCACACCAAAACTGGAAGTTGACAGGAAGTATGTGAATGTACATCTTAGGAACATTGGAGATTTCTAGTGTGGAGCTAAGAAAAATCCACCTTTGGAGCAAATCTACATAATACTATGCTGGTAACTGTTCAACAGCTGGTTTCTGGTGGCATTCCCAATGTTCATGGTGCAAATATCCTCACCATGGCCAGTCAAAGGCTACTAAGGAAACATCAATCAGTTCATCGAATTCCTGAAAACTTAATCAGATCTTGTAAGCCTAGGAAGTGGCAACAGAACGTGCTGAGTCTAAGTACGTATGCAGACCCTTTATCCTAGTTGAGGGGGTCAAAAACATGCTACTCCCTACCCTGCCTTCTGTGCCTACCCTCTCTATCCATAGAAGATTAGCAACAGACTTTGTCCTCTGTTCAGTTCTTGGCCTGCTCTGGTACCTGTTCATGCTGCTTAATAACTCCCTTCCATCTACTCCCAGAAGATGACTTGGTAGTTTAGTAAGTGACTCTCACTTCAGGCATGAAACTGAGTCCCAGCAGTCACTCTGCAGGTGAGAAGGTGCCTCAGGAAGCCTGACCCAGTGCAGGAATACACAAGCTGTCCCAGGAAGTCTATCAGGGGTTGGGCAAGAGAACCCCTGAGGCACCCTTAGTCATGCTCCTAAAAACTTAGGGCCAGTCCCAAGGTTGCCATGTGCTCACCAGCTCCTGTTCCCCTGGGTGTCCCCAGGAATGGGTCCATGTTTTCCAGCCCCTCCTTGTTCATCACCAAGTCCTCTGCCACACTGACTACAGCTTAGAAGGTGCTATTCTCATGGTTGGTGAGAAACCGGCAGAACTGGTGTTCTAGACCCATGCAGTCAGCATTAGGTCATGACACAGTGGGCCATTCACTCTTGGTCTTTTCTTTCCTGGGCAAAGCCCATCCTGGGCTGACATCTGCCTGTAGGCTACTTAGAGGGCAGTTCAATGGATTTACAGTGGAGTGTTCTTTTCTTCTCAGGTAATTAGATCCAGAGGAAAATGTGATCACCAGCCAGCCTGCCCAGACAGTGAATGATGTAAGCCTTCAACCCTGATAATCTCAGTGAGCGTGTAGCTGCCTGCAGCCCACCCACCAGTGAACACTGCTCCCAGGTGAGTGGGAGGGCCCCAGACCCAGGTCAGGGAAGCTTCTGAACCCAAAGCTAACTGAGGTGCTCAAGACTATGCCCAGCAGGGCCGGAGCCCAAAAGTGTCTAATCTGCCCCCAGCAAACTCTCTGTGACCTAACCTAAGTCAACTTAATCCTTGGGGCTCAGCATCTGCACTGGCCCAATGATTCCTTCTTGTCTCTGTGCAAAATTATTAGGAGGAACACACAGTGCAAGTGGTGTAAAGGTGCATCAGAGGTGATTTACAATCAGCATTCCTTAAGATGTTGTTTACAAAGGCAAAGTAACGCTGGGAATTTGCTGGAGGCAGAAATGGAGTTTTCACTGAAATGCTTTATTGATCACCCAACCATTGCTGACCTCAGTGAATCCCCACTTGTTCAGATGTAGCCAAAATGTTGAAGTGGCAGACACTTCCCCTAGTGCAACTCCCAGCTCGATACTACTGTTAGGATACTACAAATACCCCCAGAGCACTGGAAATATTCAGATAGGAAAATGGTAGTGCGTGAAAAGGAGCTGAGACAGGCCACAATACCTGCCTCCCCAGCAGGCAGCCCTCCCCGGCTCGACCCGCTAGAACAAAACTGCAAATAGAGAAGCAAGCCGAGCTAGAAAGGAGCAGCCATTGATTGGGGGCCCATCGGTCACTCCTTCAATTCTAGGAGTGAACTTAGCAAGGGCCCACAGCCTGATGCCTCCATGTTACCAAGTAAAGAAGCCTATTTGTGTATTCCCAAGAGAACCCTTAATAAAAGCCCGTGGACATTGGCAAGTCACCATGATGGAGCAGGGAAACAGCAGAGCACACCTATCCATTGTCTTTGCCTCCTCGGTCAGCTACACAAGGGACTCGTTACTCTCTGATTCAGGAAAATAACTGGAAACTTTCCCTACAACCACAGATCCACATCAGGGCAAGCTCTAGTAACTGGAAGTACCTCTTGTCAGACATACTTGATTATAGTTTTGTCTCTCAATGCTCAATTCCACATGAAAGACTTTTTAACTTCACATATTTTTCCAAAATGAGAAGCAAATCTGGAAGTTACTTGTAACATCGCCTTCACAGTCATTTACACCCTCAGCACTAGAACATTGGGTAGTGCCTTCCTTCTCTGCTCAGGAGGAGATGTGTCTGAGCCACATGAGTGCTGGAAGCTTAGTCATTTGATAAATAGGAAAGCCTCTGACAGTGTGAGTTGAAGATAAAAATGGGAACTCAACCACGCACTATTTATATACATCATTTTGAATAGATATTTCATTAAAGACTTTTAAGAGATAGTGTGTATATCTGATTTAAAGCAGTTAAGTAAATACAGCATTTGAGGGTTAAAAAATGTAGGTAGTTCAATTTGACATGTATGCCCCAAATGGAATCAACTCATATCAAACCAGTTCTTCTCAGACTCCATTCAGGAAGCTCAAATCCCATTTGTTTCCCCTTGCTTTCCTCAGCCCCGAGAAGCTGCCCTCCCTGTGGCTGTCAGCCCTGTGGGTGTGCTCTGTAATCCTATAGTGCATGCTGGAATGCAGTTTGAATGCAAGATGCTTCAGGTAATAAAGTTTATCAGAATGGCTTGTCATTATTTTTGCATCATTATACAATTACTGTGGCTTTAGAAGGTAATAAATCATTGCACAGGTGACAGATTGAGAGGCTAAGAAGGACAGTTATTCTCACAGATAAAATAAATGCTTCTACTAACGAGATGTGGTGACTTGGTGGTCAACCTTTTAAAAAATGTCCTGTGGTCCTACAAGGGCCAGTGGTAAAGCCATCTGCTTCTGAAAGTGTGCCAAGCCATGGCCAAGACCACAGAGGAGCTGAAACTCCAACAGCTCCAAGAATGACACTGCAAAAAGTGTCCCAGTTTCACTCCTTGATGGCCCAGAGGGAACATTATAACATCAATAACCAAATTCAGGTGAGTCCAAGTTTTACTGACTCCATTATCAATGCCCAGAAGGCCCATTACTCACTCAACCTGACTCAGAGATGTCACCAAAGAAAGCTATGTCATTTGTGTTTGCATGGGTATACATGTGTATCATGTGTGTTTGCATGTGTGTGGGTGTGAGTCATGTGTGTGTGTGTTTGCATGGGACTGGGTGGTGTATCATATGTGTTTGCATGGATGTGTGTGCCATGGTGTGTTTATGTGGAACTGGGTGTGTGCATCCTGTGTGTTTGCATGTCGTGTGTGTGGGGGGGGAGGGGACTGGTGTGTGTTTCATGTGTATTTGCATGGGTGTGTGTGTTGTGTGTGTGTGTTTGTATGGTTGTGAGTGTGTGCCATGTGTGTTTGCATCAGTGTGGGTGTGTTTTAGTTGTCTGAGTACTAATCTGCTTCAGCACAATCTCCTATCACACTGAGTTTTATATTTTATATTTTTTACACTTAACAAAAAATATCAGAGCTTATTTTCTGCAAACTATAAAAAAAATAGCTCTCTAGACTAAAATCAAGCAGGAGATGTTTCAGTCCAAGAAGCAATATTCTGGTAGAGAATGAAAGAAGGACCTAAGGGGTTTGAAGCAAGAAAACCAGTTCCACTCCACTCTGTGCTGCTTGAGATGCTACAGACTCTCCACATTCATCACTGGGATCCTGGAGTATGGGGAACTGCTAAGAAAAAGGCTAGAAAGAACCTCTTCCAGAAAGTTTCAGTGAAGCCATATATTCAAGACCAACCTGTACCACAAAATGGTAAAACATCCTCGGTTTTGATGAGCAAGCCAAGCAGCTAGTGCATGGAAGTAGAACATTGAGTCAGTTCATTAGTCTCCAGAGACATGGTTCTCAAAATGCAGCTCCCGGACCAAGAACCATCAGCACCACTTTGGAACTTAGAAATCTAAATTCTTAGACCCCACCTCAGATCTACCAAATCAGAACTCTGTGATTAGGAGCTAGCAATCAGTGTTTGAACAATCCCTCCAGATGATTCTGGTACATGGTAAGATTAAGAACCACTGCATGAGAAATATGGAAAATTAATCTCAAGATCCAAAGAACTCAGTAGGACAGGCATCCAGGACCACCTGCTCCAAAGCACTGATTCAGCCTAATATTATGAATTTTTCCCTCATACAGGGCTGCCACATCTCGTTATGCAAGCTGGGCATTGTATAAATTTTCTCTGGCCAGAAAATGTTTAAAAGTGTAAAATACAGGCCTTACTTACTCCTAAGTAATGAGCCTAATGGGCTACCCAAGCCCTGGAGGGGTGCTTTTTTCTAATACAAGCCAAGGCATCATATAGAATGGCAGTTCATTTTACTTTAACTCTTTCTTCAAATAAATCTTAACCTTCATGGTGAGAAAAATATGGTGGACAGCAGGTGGAAATCAGAATCTTCCCTTTCAGATGGACAGACAAGGAGCTTAACCACAAATGGTGATCTCGTCCCCCACAGTGACTTGAGTCCACTAAAGCCAGGTTCCTATGGATCCTGATTCCCAGGAAAAGTGAATTACAAAACAGAGCTCAATAGCTTCTGGCCTACAATGCACCCTCCAGCTGCAACTATCCTGTGGTCAGAGTTCTCCAAAAATGGAAGTAATTTTCGTCCCTATTAAATTCTGCTAAGGTCCAGAGCCAGGAAACCAGCCCTAATGACAACAGTATCATGTGGGGCCAGAGACTACTCAAAAAGATCCTTCCTCATCTGGGGAGAGGCATCAGTGTATGTTTCATAAGTCCTGGTGGCATTCTATAAAACCTGAATCCCTTCATCCACGCAACTTTGCAAGGTTCCAGCATCTCCCAGGACAGGCAGAGTCCTTTACAAATTAAATAAGGCAGTTACACACACTGAAAGAATGTCCTGGTTTTTCTCTGCCACCAACCCTTCCAGAGGCTTCCAAAAGGCGGCCTGGTTTGTGTCTGTTCACACCATGACTTCATTCCATCAAGGAGAAAATACATGGAATTAAGAGGGGTGGGATAGAGAGGACTTCCAACCCTCTACTACATTCCCATCTCTCAGCACATGCAGAAAAATGATCATTTTGTGTGTTACACTCTGGGTAATCAATTCCAATCCCCTGGAGATTTCCTGGGTCTGCTAAGCACATTCATTCTCCTGTTTCTAATCTATTCCTTTGATTTGCACAACTTGAACATACTGTCATCATTTTAAAGGAGGGGAGAGAGGAGGAAATGAGAAAACAAGGGCACAGGGAACAGAAGGGAGGGAGGGAGAAGGAGCTTGATCCTGCCATTCTCCAGCTTTAAAAACTCGCTTTTGTCTGTAGGAGAAAATGCCCATGCCCCACCCTGCCCCACTCAAGGCCTCAACAGCCTGGCCCCAGAACTTGCCTGCACTTGTCTGTGCCAAGTTTTCAAGGGCAAGTGTAATTATCCTTCATTATCCTCAGAGCTGAGCTGCCCTACACTAAATACTAGAATGTTCCTAACGCTTCAGCTTGAAGACTCACAATAATCACACGAGTTCAGTTACTATTATTATCACTGTTTCACTGACCAGGAAATGGTGACCCAAAGAGGTTAAATAACTTGCCCCCAAATTAATTAGCTAATAAGTAGAAAATCTGGGATTTGGGCCCCACCTTCAGCCCCTACAGCCCCAAGCTGCTAATCACTGAGCCAAACTTTTCCTGACATGGAACTCCTGGGCCCTCTAGGCCCTTTGCTTCCTGCATGTTTTGCAATTAGAGTCCAGAGAAAGTCATCAGTCTGGAAGGAAAATTCCTCCCCCAAGCATGACTCTGCCCGGGTCCTCAGCCTCAGGTTGGAGGAGGCCTTCTATGCACTGCAAGTAGACGTAAAATAATCAAGCAACACAGACGATTTCTGGTCCTAAGAACTTCCAAAGTCCCAGCACCTAGCCCAAGATTTCACAAACTATTTGCTCAATAAATACGTGCGGAATGAACATGTTCTCAGAGTCACATTCAATAAATCGTTGGGCCCTTACATACTAGGCAATGTGACAGGTGATTTCTTGAATGT